GAGCACTAACTCACCAGTTTCAGTAGCTGAAAGGTACGGAAAACTAGAACGACCGAGTCCAGAACAGGGAAGATCCCCGAACTTGACAATGTTGCCCTTCCGAAAAGTTCAAGAAGGCTGAGAAAAAAGCTGTGTGACAAAAACCATGTGTAAGAAGCCAGTGGAAGCCGACTTGTGTCTGAACTGCCTCCTTCCTCGTCTTTTCTCTTCTTATATAGGCCGTCGTGCGCTGATGCCGCCAGCGGAACTGACTGCTAAGTTTAGCCCCGGCCGCTACTGCTTCTAATGGTTCAAAGCGGAGCTGCCATCGCGTGTTCCGGTGGAAACGACGCTTAACCAACCCGCCTCGCCTCTTTCCGGTTGCGACGGTCAACTGCGTCAGCTATGACCGAATCGACGAGCAACAATGACATCAGTCTTCCTCGTACAATTACACTCTTTATATCTGTTGTCCTTGCAATACATCCATACAACAAAAGAACAAAAAGGCTGACAAATCTGTTAGTAAAGGCTTATACACTACCCATAAAATCTAGGGAAGAAAAGGACACAATGGCAGCATAAATAGTACTACGATTACATCGTTTACAAAGAATACTGGGAAAACGGAAACTCTGACTTACGCGCTACACTAAACCAGAGGCTGCATGACTGCTCAGGTGAGAACTGGGCTCCAGTTGGAAGGTTAAGGACAAAACAATCATAATAAGCCATGCCAGTGGGCGTGGCAGGCGATGTCGCGCCCAGTGGACGAGTTAACCTGCCCGGCAGTTTGCAGTTCAATGTTGGAGGGGGGGGGGGGGAGGGGAGGGGAAGAAATCCGATACAACCATCATGGATTCTCACCTCCGCTGAATTTTCGCTGCTCTAATCCCACCCACTAATACGCACTGAGTTTGCCGCGCATCACCGCAAGATGTGTCGAGCCGACGATCGCGACAAATTACGATTGTCTTGTCCGTCTCCTTATTGGAAGGGCTTAACCAAGCAATCGCTGAAGAGGTTAACTAGGGTGTATCGTGGTGTAGTTCAGGACATGCGAGGCGCGGTATGGAGCGCAAATAAACATTCCTGGCTAGTTGACTCAACACAGCATTTTGGTATCATATCACTTAGGTCACGGAAGTACACGTCCCACAGCCCTTATTTCACATCCTTGTCCAAAACATTCCGCAATCAGTAAAATGATATCGCTCATTCAATGCTTGGTGGTCGCTGTTGCTTCACGTTCGTTACTCAGAGAAGCGCGTACATGGGAAGAGGGGGGGGGCGGGGGGCGGCACCAACCGCTCCCCTGTGTCCCTTCTCCTAACCAAGCCTAGATTTGGAGCGCAGACGGTCATAGTCGCGTAGAACCTGTCCACTCAGTTTAGAAGCCCAATGCGACTCTGACCGTCTGCGCTCTAAATCTAAGTCTTGCTTCGGGAAAGGACACAGAGTCGTTGGCGCCGCACAGGACGAGCCATGACCTAACTGGTATGTCGCCAAAATCTCTGTCAAGGCAACTAGCTAGAAATTGTTGGTTCTCGTCGTCGCGCCTCGGATGTGTTGAACTACATAGTGTAGCCCTGTACCTTTTTTGCAACTACTGGACGAGAGGTCTCTACTTTTCGCTCCAAATCGTTCAAATCACTCCAATAAATGGCCCACCCCTCTTCACCCCGACTATCAGACTTCTTCAAGGCTGCCATGACCGCGGGTAATGCTCGTCCCGAAGTGTTGCCCCCTCTGAGCAATCATGCATACAACTTGAGAAGTTATATACCTTAACCATGGAAGGGAAAAAGACGAGTGGAGAAGCAACCAGCAAGCTACACAAGTCATGGAACATCCACCGAAATAAAAGTGACTTGAGAAACCAAAAGAGTTACTGCTTTTCCACGTTTTTTTCCGATAATATTATACCAGAAATCAAATACTGAACACCGCTAAGACATCCCGAACCCACAAAATATCACAGAGATCGCACATACATCATAATATATAATTAATTAGAAGTCTATGCGCGCGACTCGGCACTCTCCGATGGCTGCGCGGTCGTGCTTGGCTCCACCACAACCTCCTCCGCCTCCTCCTTGACCTAAAACGATATTCAATCCAGTTTTCTGTCGATCTATATATACAGCAGTCTGAGCTCTTCAGAATCGTTCAGTTTAGAAGCCTCGATCGAAAGACAGAGCACGAGGAATGAAATGCAATGAAGGAAGCAATACAAACCTGATTTCCACTCTTGTGAACTGCGTCCTGCTCAGCAGCTCCGGGCGCAACTTTTTCATCTTCAGCGTCCTCTTCCCAAGCAATTGTCTCCATCTTCTTTGTTTTGCTCAGACGCTCATTGAGGTCGCGGAGTGCTTTTTGCCTGAGAGAAGCTCGAACTTTACCTCATTCACTTCTTCAAACATTGTCACCACTTGAAGGCAGTGGGCGCGATTGCTGGGACGATCGTTGCCAGCGTGAGTGGTACAAGGAAGGCATGGGAGTATTTGACCACAAACCAGTCAGCGCTCCACCTTGGCGACAACCGCTCGCTCCCAGTAATCGTGACAATTGCCCTTATATTTATGAATCGACCTGTAGTTCTGAACCAAACGCCTAATACTCCTTTTTCGACAGCAAAATTTGAAAAATTCTGGACCAGTTGGAATCTCACCTTCTTCTCTCGGCGTCACGTGCCGTGCTATCGAGTCCGCGTAAACTAATTCCCACACTTTGTAGCGAGTTGAGGTCGACATGTCGAACCTGACATAAAAATTGGTTTTAGGGCTAAGCTTGGGAACGCTTTAAAAACCCGTCAGACTGTCCACAATAATCACAGCTACATCTCCGAAAAATCGTGTAACGACTCTCCGGAAATTGGCAGCGGATCGGATTCACAGGCCAACTAGCTCAAGCTTCGAAAACCCCAGTCTAATGTAATTGAGGATATTTTTGTACGTTCCTTGTTTGAAAGAAGCTAGAATGGCTTTAAGAAGCCTTCAAAAGCCCTAGAAGCAAACGCTACTTGCGTCTTCATGGAATCTTAGCTGTCACGCCTTTCGCTCAGTGCTACTTTTGGTATGCCTGCGTGCCAAAAGTAGATGACAACTCCTGTACTTACCGTTCTCTTGCAACCTCCAAGCTTAACAAGGCTTCTGAAGCAAATGCGACCGAAAACTGTGCAAAACGGTTGAACAATACGAGGGAAAAAGCTGAAATAGTTACATCTCAAGTTTTCTGACGAATCACAAAATATGGCGCGACCTACCTTGCCCAGACGAAGTGCTCACTACCGTCACCGTAAGTCCCGTCAGCATCCTGTGGATTGAAGAAACGAAGATAGGTCCATGAAATTTGAATGGCAAGCACACTTTGCAACACAATCACCTAGAATTATGCGAGAATAAAACTTCTACAGAATTCACTGGGATCACTGAAGCACTGATAAAACTCACTGGCTTAACCACTCCCACTACGGAAAATATGGACACGAATAAAATAGCCAAAATAGGCATATGAGTGTATTTGATTCTTCCTACGGGGGTGTCGAGAAGGATTGTATCCGGTAGAAACTGAAAAAAAGATAAGTTCAACAGTGAAGCTTTTTAACTGTCCAAAATGCAATGTCTTGCAGATGGCAGGGTGCTAACGTGGTCGAGCAGGGCTACGTAGCAGCCCCCTCGCGTCCTTTCCCCTAGTCAGGGCTTAGGCTCAGAGCGCAGACGATAAGTTCCAACAGGTCACTCAATTTTCTATTCGTCAGTTCAGTCGACCTTTTATACGAATGCGTTCATACTTTGCGTGCGTTTTGAGCGTACGACAGTGTTTTCAGCGACTAGGAGAGAATACAAATCGATCTGGCATTTTGCGTACGCAAGCGTTTTCTTTTTGTGTTTTCAAGGACAGTTCTGAGTGGGTAGCCGTTCCAAATCCTGCCGTACGCT